ACAAAAACAGAAATTGCTGAACACCCACAGCAGGTCAATAAATAACTGAAAGACCAATGTTAACACTTAGGGTGGGTCCCTTCTTCCCAACTCTATCCCTTAACTGGCAGCCAAAGTGCAGCCAAACTATTCTATGAGCGGTCAATGTCTGATGGATCAAAAGATTACAGCGAATTAGAATCCATTCCCTTAATGTTGTCTCTGTCAAGCAAAATTATGTAATTAAAAGAGCCAATAGAGAAAAAACAAAAGCTGCATTTATTGACAAGGATATTTCTGCTACCAAATGCACTCCCCCAAGCTTTAATAGAAGTAATGGTTAAGCTTTTGGTTCCAAGTGCTATGCCAAGTGGTATCCACCACACAGCCAGTCTCAACTACAAAACTAAACTCAATAAAATGGTTGCAATTATATTCAAAATGGTCCCTGGTCTGCTGACGGAAGCACAGTCAAAAAGGAAAAATCTAGATATCTTCCATTTCTTCCTCCCTGTCTTGTCTGATATTATTGTGTTGAAGTCACCTACTACTCATTCAACTCTCAATAAGTTCAGTGCACAGTAGTAAATTTCTACATCATTGTGCACTTCAGTCATGAGTCAACAAATTGAAATACAAGTGTCTCCTTAAGGTTTTGATGGTTAATAAAATACCTAAAGGTTCTGCATTACTGCCCCATTTTCAATGTATTGAAGATATAAGCTCTTGAGACTATAGAACAATAATATCCTTCAACTTCAACACATGTTTAACAATTGTAGAGGACCTTTTTACATCTTGCTGAGGGCTTGTGAAAATCAAAAGCCTAGCTAATTTTAGCCTGTAAGACCATTCTGTTTTCAAATTTAAGGCCATTGCAGAGTTGTGAAAGATTTTTAAATTCAGACCTAATTTGGTGGATGATTTTTTTTTGCAGTCTTTTAAGAAGAACTGGCTTCCAAATTAAGACCAAACTTCAGAAATGTCCTCACTCAATCCTGTTCAATCTGAAAAGTTCTAGACAAAATGGTCTTTTGGGCTAAGACGGAGTGGAAATTGAGCCCTCCTGATTGACTAATCAACCCAATGAGGATGAATCAGTGCAGTGATGCAGCTCCTCCCCCTTCCCAGTTTCTCTCGGCTAACGCAACAGAATTCCAACCCGGCTAGCCTTGAAAAGGCGTTGGGCCATTTCAGCCTTCTGTTTCCAGCCTGCCCACTTATCGATGGCAGGAGTCACTGTTGAATCAGAGGCCTGTTCGGATAAATGATTCAAGTGAAGTATTTGTTTACTTAAATCGTAGCCATTTTTTTTAATACAGCATTTTCTATGGTAACAATTTCCAAAAGCTGAGATAAACTGAAAGGTTTGAACCCAGTCCTCAGCCAAAGAGACACCTGGATTGTCATTTCCCCATAGAATATAAGTAAAAACATGATAGTCCTTGGGGGCCGCTGTGCATTTGTAAAAAAAATTCTTTTGTAATAAGTCAAGGACTGCCAAAAAAAAAGTGAAACTGAAATAATTTATTTAACCACTAGAGCACCACAAAATGCGTAGGCTTCACAGACACACCATGTGTTAAAATACATAGTAATTAACCAACAAATGTGTATGTTTGACCGTATTGTACGCCTGAAATAAAAACAAGAAAAAGCACCCATCCCTCCCAATCCAGTGGTAAGATTATCAAGCGTTCAACATTTACTGAGGGTCAAGAAATAAGTGTACATTTTTTAAAGAACAATAGTTTCGAGGACTTCATGGTTACAAGAGAAAGCTTTTACGATACTATCAGTGCAATCTTGAGGAAAAGAAACTTCATCCTAATTTTTTTGTTGGGGGCGAGGGAAACAGCAAAAGAAAATGTTGAGCATTATACAGAGATATAAAAAAACAAAGCATTCAAGATGTGGCTGCGTCCAGCGCAATCAAGTACGGTTTTACAATTCTGGCATCCCATCTCCTTCTAATAGAGCTATTGACAAATGAATAAGCCATTTTGATACAGCATTGTGTTCCACTTCCCACTGCAAAGCACTCAGCTGAGATTATGATGAGCTCTGTTGGGACATCCCAGGCAAGAGTGCTGACGACTGAACATAGTATGCGGAAGGAGCAAGCTCAGGGAGCCAAATGGCTTCTAATCATTTCCATGTTCTCTTATCACTGGCATCCCAGATGCCAGGAGATCCACATATATCTCTCTCTGTCCATTGTGTAGATTTAAACTTATATTCAAAAGTGGTATGTTTTTAAAGCTGAATTTAAGTGCCTTTGCCTTCGTGATCAAGCAATTGACAACATTTTTGATCACTTGTTTACAAAAACACAGAATGCAATGTCGCTGTTGAAAACTAATCACTCTCTTGCGAAGCATGCAACTAAATGATATATGCCTGTTCCCCACCTCCCACCTTCCCTGGCCCACCCACTCATCTCACAAATACGGTTTGTCCACCACTGTTCTTGAACGCCAATACCCCCCAAAAAAAGACTGATTTCCTCTTTCTCCTGGTGAACATTGAAGGGAACGGTGCAGCGACTTTAAAGAATATGAAATGAATACACAGTGTTGTACAATAAGTTGACATGGTTTTATCTTCCAGTAATAAGAGCATCACACAAGTAATCATTTCTGAATGGTTTTAAACATACACCCTACATACATCAATGAGTCATGAGAGGTAATGAGGGGATCTGGAATATTTATTTCAGTTATACAGCTACACCACCAGCACATGTTCGTTCTACTGAATATCTTAAGGAGGTTTTCAAAAGGCCATTGTTTATTTCCATTCGTTTAACCAGTGAAAGTTTTGCACAAAGTTTCTTGCATATTTTTCCAGTGACCTTTTTGTTCACTCTATCTTAATGAAATGAATCACAACAGTGGGAAATTTTCATTTTTTTTAAAAAAAGTAATATTATCGGGAACTACCGTATAAAAAACATGCCTGCCTGTGTGAAAAATATTACACTATGAAAAAGGGTCTGTTTATATGTAACTCCTTCCTCAGCATTCAGTCTAAGGACATCATGCTCCATCTTGATCACAATTACTGTTCCTGACTCATCTGCCAGGCGCATTTGCAGTATAAATCCGAGTCCAATTCCCTCCCATCCCATTGCTTAGCTGCGATGGATAGTCTACAGCAACAACAAATTTACATTTATATATCACCTTTCACATTGGGGGGCATCCCAAGGCACTTAACAATACTGTCTTGGAACCCGAGCTGGGGTTAAAGCCAAGGGAGGTGGGGAGGGGAAAGATGACCGAAAGCACAGTCAAATGACCCAGGCCTTATAGTTAGGGAACAATTGGCTACAGTTTACCTCTGTTTACCTCTGAAGTTGCTGACTAAAACTGAAAAGTTTGCTGGTCAGGAGATAGCAGTCTGTTATTGTATCTACTGGACTGCCCTAGAATGAGCTGGAAACGCAGACCGACCAGTCAGGTGATAGCAATATGTTTTACCTATTTTTATATTGCCCCTGGACTGTGAATGAAAACTCACATCTACTGGTCAGGTGGTAGCAGCAGTCTGCTGTTGAGCTGCCCCTAAACTGGGATTGGAATTTGGGTTTTTGGAGACAAATGTCAATACAATACAAATTTACATTTATAGTAAACTCCGGATAACTTGAGTCTGACTTAACTTATTACAACCCCTAAAGTAGCCATACTGTCAATATCCTGGTTGCTTCCAATACAAATGTGAATAAGGGACTCGGCTTTATTTGTCACTCTGCTTAACAAGTGATGAGTTGCTTTCTAGAAATTCTTGTAAGTACTTATAATGTAAAATAGACCAGATAACTCTTCCTAAATGATGGTGTCTTGCATCTCAAAGGCCTTCCGCTCTATCCTGTGACTGGTGTGGGAGCCAGGCGAGGGTTGAGTGCACATGCTCAGATGCATCGCAAAGGCCTCTGGTCTATTGGAGGGACTTTCACAGCATTCCAATGGGCCAGAGATCTGTGTGATGCATCTGAGCATATGCGCACAACCTCCACCAAGCTCTTGAGCAATCACAGCGGCCCCTTGTGATAACTAGTCACTGAACCCTTTTCCTTTGACGAGTTACCTGGAGTTAACTGTATATAGCGCCTTTCATATTGGGAGTACATCCCAAGAAACTTGAATCTCTTGTGTCTTAGCTGTTGTGCTACCTCTCGACTAAGGTTAGAATCAGGTCACTTGGTGAGGAGCCATGGTGGTATGGCTACTGTCTGGACCTCCCTGCTCACGAGACAAGACCATAAAAAGGGCTATGGTGGAATGAGGCAGGAACGAGGGTCTTCTGGTTTATTCAGAAACAAAACACTGTCTCCTACTGTTCTATTTCCTTTCTATAATTTTTAGCAATGTTGTACACATTTTCTATTTAAGGCATTACTCCACCTGCTAATTGTTCATTCTTTCACGCATAGGTAGCTGGTAAAAGAAAAAATCTCATTCTCACAAGTGGCTGAATAACACACTTCAATTGTACCAGGTTTGGAGATTGAATTTTGTAAATGGGCTGGGAATAAATTTGCACTTTCTAGGAATTAGCAGGCTGCTATAGTAACCTTCCACTTAGAGTCAGGGGTGGGACAAAATTGCCCCCCAATAAGATAAACATTGAACTTCAATGAAATTCAACAGATCTGAAGATGAATCTGAACTTGGATGGTACAATTCTCTGAGGTTGGAAACATCAGAAATATAATCCACATTCCTAGATATATGTTACCCACCACCCATCCACCCACCCATTCATTCACACACACACACACACACACTGCAGTACCATTGATAGAAAATACACTAGAACTATACTTGGGGATGTTTTAAGTCTACCACTATGCTCCTGGTGGCTATTCCTTGATATCAAGTCCCCAGATGGGTAATGTATATGAGGGAAATACAATTCTAATAACTTGTGCCCTAAGAAAGGAGTATAAAGGATGCCAATTGCATAACAATACACAAGAGATCAAGTAAGGCACGGGACCTGTACAGCATTTCCACTGGGTGGGACTTCTTTTTTATTTCACATATTAACACTTACAATTCTTCCAGTGTTCTTTTGATTTTTTTAAAAAAAGGTTCTGTGTCTCTCATCTATCACACTAAATTAGTAGATGGAGGATACGAAATAAAGCCTTCAATGTACTTTTTTTTCCTTTTGCTTCTGTTGGTAGTTAAACAAATAAACAAACAAAAAAAATTGCTTCCAAATAGTTCAAACTAGTACCGTGTATTGTTCTTTTTGTTTAACACTGAGGAACCCAGGATTTTCAGGGGAGTTGTGTTCATTTTTAGCTGCATTTGCAAGATTTGACCACCATGTTCGAAAGGTGTTCAATTTTCGGAGTCTTGCCAACGAAGTAGAGGATAGTGAGTGGCTCCAGGTCTTGAGAAACACAGCACGGAGAGGCAGAGGCTTCAGGATTTATATTGTTGTAGAGGCTGAGTATCTGAAATAAAGAAAGCACAATTTAATCGGGCAAAAAATAATCTTTTTGAAAAGCGACAATGAGAAGGCTTGGGGTCATTCTGCTAGGAAGTTCACATGTGGAGGAAAGTGTGAATTGTCACTTGAAAAATATCCTAAACAAGCACTTTCATGCCAGGACAAAAGTGATATTGTTGCTCGACCACTGACTCACTGAATAAGCAAAAGAGAGCTGTTGTGCAACTTGTTTTTTTACCCACCATAACCTGTGTAATATAAAATACCGTTATAAAGGAGCACCTCTAGGTACAATTTTACAGCATGCTTTTTTACCTTAAATGAACACTCTGTCCTTTTGATAAACACAGATTGCAATAAAAGTGTTTAATAAGAATCCATGGCAATGTACGAAATATTTTGAAATGCTGATGTAAATTTTGCCATTACTACAGTATGTCACCTCTTGGCATCCGCAAATATTTTGACTGTCTCCTAGGGATTGAACACAGTTCTGTTGTTGCTCTGATTTTTTTTTGGAAAAGTATTAATTAAATAAGGTGTGGACAGCTCTGCAAATAAAAGCCAAACCCACACTAATCAGCTATGCCTTTTTCAAGGCTCAAATGCGCTCACACTGGCTAACAGAATGTAATTGGGTCTTGCAGCTTGGACAGGTCAGTAGTTCAATTGCTACCAAAGTGCCATTGTCCACAGAACAAAGCCTGGTGCCTTGGCGTCTCTGTTCATTAGCTTCATTTTGGTTTTACAGTCCTGGAACAGCGCAAGCCAATAAATGGATACCCTGCTGATAGACACATTAGGATAAATGGAACATTTCCTCAGGCACATAAATTCTAATGTTCCACCTTTGTCCCAGTGGACTAAAAACACTTCTTTTAGGAGCAGTGCCTGCAGGAATAGTATAGTAGTAGAGTATAAAGTTGTGGCACACACTGTTATATCGATAGTGCTGATTTGAGGCAATGCCTTATACAAAATTACATTTGTATAGTGCCTTTCATGTTGGGAGGATGTCCCAAGGTGCTGGATATAGCATTGTAAGTGCAATGAACTATAGGAACAGCTTGGAATAGGGTGATGCACTAACGGAGCAGAGTGAGCTTGGATCAGACGCCTATGAGGCTGAAGGCTGTGGGTTCTCAGAGCTTGAGTTCATAGTCCGGGGTGACAATCCAGGGCAGTGCTGGAGAGTGATTCATTGTCAGAGGTGCAGTCTTTCAGAGATGTTGAACTATTGAGTGTGTGGTGTTTGTGCATGCAAGTGTAGTAACTACTTTATGTACGTATCCTGTTGGCCTATTTTCAGGTGGGTGTGAAAGATCCCATGGCACTGTTTGAAAAGGCATTAACTTGTCAAACATCTCCATGGACATTTGTGGGACCTTGCAAATTGTTTACCTACAACATGTTTACAAAAACAATCACTGCACTTGACAGTAATTAAATGGGGAGCACTCATATAATAATAATCCTTGCATTTGATATAGCGCCTTACCATGTCTTCGAGACGTCTCAAAGCGCTTCACAGCATATACTGTAAAGTGAATTGACTGTATAATTTGCGGGCTTTTGTTTCCTTTTTACTTATTATATTATTTATTTATTAATTCCAGAAATCTATCTGAACATTTTTGCCAGAAGACCAGGAAAAATCTTTTGACAACTGTGTATCTTGTGGCTTGCTCACTCACTCAGCTAATTTACCACACTGCACTGTGTCTTGTCAGATATCCAGTTTTCAGATTGCATTGTGGTTTCTCACTAGTTGTGTGGAGTCCAGAACAGTTAATGTTTACAGGGTAATCTGTGTATGAAAAGTGATTCCTGTTCTAAGCTCTGCAGAACTGCCAAATAGCAGAACTGAATTTCAGGGAGATCAGGCCAACAAGGACTAAACCTCAATTCCCTCTTCTGGCTCCACAAACAAATGGTAAAACTGTTGTTCATGATGCTTCATCACACTTGACAGGGCAATTGCTGAATTTTATACACGTTTAATGAAAGTAATACTTCAAGTAGTACGGGGCTATGAAATAATGAAAGCCTGAACATCCACGCAGATCACAGGGGTATTCTTCTCCATGGCAAACCCTTTTATTTGTGCATGGCCAAAAGATTCGCTAGACCTAATGAATGATGCAGAATAAGCCCTGGAGTTTGGGTTAGGGATTCCGACAATTTGGGAGGCAATTTCATGTTGAAATTTCAAATAGTACTCTTCAATTCACCAAAAGCTTATAAAACATCCTGTATCTGCTTATGTCGATGATCTCCTTTTCTATTGTTAATTGCAAAAGGAAATTTACTGATGTGATGGAAAGATGGCTCCAAACACTAAGTAAAGTTAAATGGACCAAAACCGTTTAATGTGCTGTGAATAATTGTCCAGTCCAGGCATGCTCACTGGGTTACTGAGGAGATAACTTATCCTGTGGCAGTCCGTACTGTAATGCTGCATAGAAAAACCTCTTCAATGACACGATGAGGCCAATATTTAGGCTTGTGGCATTTGACTGGTTGAATGAGTCAACCTGTGGAGCTGTTTTTCAGCTGTCGAGAACTCAACAGCCCAATTCCTGTCTGTCTTATACAGTGTCCTGTAACTTCCAACTCTATGGTTACTTGCAGATCATTTTCAAGATTGTAATCTTCAAATCCCTCCATGGATTTCTTCTACCCTATCTATGCAATCTTCTCTAACCTTACCCTAACCTTAACCTTAGAAGGAGGATTGTGCTCCTCATTCTTCGGACTCTGTTCGTGCTACTGCTAATTCTATCGGACGCCACAACCCTGTCCTCTTGCAAATTTGCCTTGCTACTCTTCTAACTCTACTCTTATAAATCTCCCAAATATCTATCTCTTTAAACAATATCTTTGGTCATTGCTAAATTCCTTCCATAGGTCAGTATTCTCCACTCCCATAGCTGAGCACTTTGAAATGATCCTTTACGTAAACCTGTCCAGAAATCTACAAAGTACTGGAGGTTTTATTTGAGTTATTTAACGGATATTAAGCTTATAGTCCTCCTACACATGCATATATATTTCAGGGGACTTCTTTTAAAACTTTAGTTTGCATCACTGACTTCCAACAAGGCCACCCTCAATGGTACTTTTCAGAATTGGAATGATCCCAGCTCCCCCTGTCAGCATGGTTGGACCAGTTCCAATTCCCTCTGTCAGCACAGTTAGACCCGTCTCAGCTCCCCTTGGTCCCAAATCGTCTGGTCAACAAGACTGGACTAATCCTAGCTCGAACTATCAGCCGCTCCCCTCCACCCCTCAAAAGAAATGTTTGGACAGGTCCTAGCTCACCCTATCAAGGAGATTGGATTGATTTTGGCTTCACCCTGACACAGAATCGAGGATAGTGATTTTGCAGAGGGCCGCAAAACTAAGTGTTGCCATTAACAGCTAGAAAAATATATATTTTTTAAAAAGTACCTTGCCTTAGGCTGATGATAATTGTCACTTTTTTCACAAGAGTTAAAAAAAAGTATTCAATTTTGCAAGCGGTGTATGTATAGAGCATTAACCTTATTCCCCCCCCATATACTCTTATAAAGTCCATTAGACCTGGCTTAGAAAAATTTGAGTGAACATTGTGCCATGTGATGTGCTAATTAAGACCAGTCTTAACTGATTCTTAGTTAAAATTTTGCTCCAACTAACTAAAAGCAGAGGCATTCACTGGTCTGCAGGTGTGTTTCATTTCTTCCTTTCCACCCCCAGCCCCCCTCCTCCCCCACTCTGCCGCAGTGTGGGTTCGATGTGAAGGGGGATGGTAGTTAATGAGATATTGGCTATTCTCTGATGTTTTGATGAGTCAAGACATTAACTGACATGCTAGCGAGTTTGTTGACCACTCAACAACTGAGGCTAATGTGGCTGTGAAAAGGAATGATTTTTTAAACAGAAAGCGTAGACCTCGGTAAACTGTGTCTACCTACCCCACTGTACAAATTGCCCCTGCCCAAGCAGGCAGGATGTGAATACCTAATCTGGTACGGGAGCAAGATACACCTCACCCATCGTAGCAAAAGTGTAATTTCAACTTCGGTGCAAAAGAGACAAGAACAGAGCTGCTCAATGGAGAAGAACAGTTTGAGGGGGTCACAGGCTTTGCTTACCTTGCTATGTTGAGTATCTGAACTCCATAAGTAAGGGCAGGCGCCTGCACAAAAGTTGGCCTCATAACCTTTGGGTTCATGGATCCATTTCCAACCGAGATCTCTCCTGAAGTCAATGTACAGTGGGCGTAAGCAGCAGTTGTCCTGCACATTTCTGGTCAACAAACAAAATTTCACACTCGTATGATGGAAAATGAACTCAAGAGAGGAAAGCATGTCTTCAACAAAGGGCTATTCAAAACCCTCACTTTCTGCCGACGTAAACAGGCTGATTTTAGAATGGCTAAGTGTAGTTCATTCCACATGAATGAACAAAGTCCCCCACTGAACTAAATGAGACTGTGAAGCAGTCACTACATTTATTTAGCTTCCCAAGTAGCTTTGAGAGTCAAGTCCATGACCTTTTGCTTGTCTGAGTGTGAGGGTGGGGGTGAAGAGAAGAGGTCAGCCACATTCTCTGTGAATCAAAGGGCCTCAGTCAGTGCACATATATACCATCCACTGAGCACAAGGAACAGAAGGTTAAATAGAAATACAAGGGGTCGTCATGATAACACAGCTCTTTGGGTTCAATAGCTCAGAGACCGCATTATCATATATTACAAGAGGCCTGGAATGTAAAAGGAGGTGATTCTGCAGTTATACAGAGTGCTGATGAGAACACATTTGAAGTAGTGTATTCAAATGCAATACTTTGTGAATTGTATGCACGATTGGGCTTCTTCTACGGATCCAGTGCTGAGTGATAAGGAATTTACTATTAAATCTCTCCCTCGCTAAACAATAATAATCCTTGCATTTGTTATAGTGTCTTTCACGGCACAAGGATGTCTCAACGCTCTTCAAAAGATTACTATAAAGTGTATTACTCTATATTTTCACTCCACTCTACCTCCATGACCTCCTTCATTCCTGCGCACCCTTTGCTCTGTGAGCACCGGCCTGCTTCATATCCTCTACCCTATCCGCTCCACCATCGGCGGGCAAGCTTTCAGCCATTCTGCCCTGTTCTCTGGAATTCCCTCCCTCCTTCCGACTTGATTGCTCGCTGCCTCCTTTCCCTCTTTCAAGGCACGTTTCAAAGCATACTTCTTTCAACGTGTTTTTAGTCATCTTTCCCAACAACCCACCCCTCTCATCTCTCACTCTGCAGGTCAGGTTTCCAGCCACCATTGTCAAATGCTTTCAGACATCCTCCTGATGCGAAAAACACTGATAAATGTAAATTGTGTTGTGAATTTGTAGGCAAACCTAGCAGCCAATTTCTGCCTGCGATGGCCCACAAATAGCCATGAAGTGAACGATTAATTTTACCTGGGGGATACAGATATCAGGAATAAAGTCTTCTAACAAAAGGATGCATTTCATATTGATATTTCGCATACTTGACGGAACAAAACTTATCTGTACAGATTTCTTCAGAAGGAAGATAATAATAATCCTGGCATTTGCAATAATGAATTATGATAGTAAAAACATGTTTAGAAGCCTTTTCCTCTCTTCTCAATGGGATATTCTTTAGAAAAANCCTAAACCAGATGGTTGCTGGAAGGCTTTGCTTCATTTTACTTTCTCGAAGATTAAATTGGGGGAAGTTAAGGTTTTGTAATGTGTAACATATACGTACATGTTCATATTGTACAAAAGCGAAAAGGCTGATGTCTTGCAAGAAACAATTTTCTGATGAATTATTGGAAGGGTGATGTTATTTCTATTTTCTTTCATTTCTTTCTCTTTTGTTGCTCAGGTGCAATACGAGATGCTCGTTTGAGCCAGTGTATCTTTAGGTCCCCAAATCCTCCTGGGGGGTTAGCAAGGGGGGGTGGGGGATACGTGGGGTCTCCTTGGAGTTTGACAGACAGTGCTCTCCAATGGAAAGCTATGTGGTTTTAGCTGGTTTAGATTCCAGCAGTACCTCAATACATACTCTGCGGTACCCAAGCCTTGGCTTTTGCCAACCTGCTCCTAATACTCTCCGGAATTAGGTAAACAGGATACATTCCAAACACATTCCATTCTGATACACGGGAGTTTCCAGGAGTAGGTGGGATGCATGGAACTTTCAGTTTGGCAAGTGTGCTGAAGGCTTCCGCATATCTCTGACACCCAGCTGACCAAAACAAAGTTCCCAAATTCCTCCTGGTCTTGTAAGACCATTTTGCCTCTAAAATGTAAGGATTTTTCATTAATGTGGAATGTCTTTCACTCAAATTTTAATTACGATGCCAAGTTTCCTTTTAAGAACTATGGAAAACCAGTTACCAAATTAAGACTCAATTTGATAGTTTCCACAATTCAAAGTGATTTAAATCTTTGAGACAAAGTGGTCACGTGGGCTCAGACCAGGTGAAATGTTGGACCTATTGTTGTGCGCTATACTTGACTTGTTTAATGCTACATAGGGGTGCAAAGTGTTCATTTTCCCAGCACTGAAATCTATTGCTTGCACAAGCACAAAATTCACCAGGGGAAATTTTTTTAAAAATGTTCAAATGTATTCAGAAGTATTAGGACCAAACATAAGGATGTTGAAAAATGATTGCCAGCAAACTCTTTGATGTGTGCAAACAAGAGAAAACCAATGACAAAAAATACTTTAGCAAGATTTAAATAAGGTGAATATCAGCTACCAGTAACACTGAGAACCTGTCAGACAGAATTGCTGTGGGAATATTGTCTCTTTGCATTACACAACAGAGCGAGTGGGAAAAATGCGATGTTTCATTACAGAATGGATGCAGAACTGGAACAATGATCAGATTTTATGAAGTGTCATGAAATGTGTTATGAAATGTCATATTTTGCCCCCTTTGCACATCGATGAACATTCTCTATTCAATGTACCTACTACCCCACCCCATTATATGACATGGAGACTGAGCGATTGGATTATTTTTGCCTTTACATTACCTAAAACAAAATGCGGCATCTAGTGCACGTTTCTTCCGCCGAGAAGGTTGCTGGGACTCAAGTCTATAGGACGGTAGTAACATCAAGAGAAGGTGTGCCTTTTTCTCATTGTAATTTTTATTATTCTTCAGTTTTCTCATATCACTGCTAGAATAACCTCTTGGATAGTCATAAATCCCTTGAAAAGAAAGAACAGGGAACAGGTGATGTTAGCAAAAGTTAATAATAATCCTTACATTTTGTATAGCTCCTTTCCCATCCGGAGGACATTCAAAAGTACTTCATAGGATACACTGTAAAGTGCAGTGATTGTGGTGGGTGAAAGTTAGAAAATTACCTAGTCTGAAATTCCATCTCATTTTAGCCTGTAAGACTATTTTGCCTTAAAATGTTCAACTGCGCAAAATTGTGCAAAATTTTTAATTTCAGGTTTAATTTGCAAGGCAATTTCCTGCAGTTCATAAAATAAAAATGGCTTCCAATTAGTACTGAATTTAAGATTTTTCTACAATTTTTTATAATCTTCAATTTTAAGATAAAGCGGTTTTACAGGCTATTGATGTTCTGGGCCAAGGAGCCCTTACTTTTCTGAATTAATGTACTTCCTGTAAAATAACAGACCACATCAAACAAAGAGACTGATTCAGAGCCTGCTGTACACACTATGGTAAAATGTTATGACACAATAACTAAAACTTGTTAAATCATGCTGTGCAGAGTTCAGTTTATCAAGCCTTGGAGGCACTGCAAAGGAGAGTAATCATGATGATCTTATTGTTAGAGGAATGAGCTATGAACAACAATTAGTCAAGCTAGGGCTGTTGAAAATAATAATCCTAATAAGCCTTGCATTTGATATAGAGCCTTATCACATCTTCAAGACTTTACAAAGCGCTTCACCGAGTATACTGTAAGTATATTTTGTGGGCGAAACACGGCAGCCAATTGCGCACAGTAGTGTCCCACAAACAGTCATGGATTGAAAGACCAAATTATTATTATTTTTTTTGAAGGGATTATTATCCCCTGAAATTGATCTGCCAATTGATTAACAACCAGGATCCTACTTACTTCTAGGTCAAAAGAGGCATATGGAGCCTACGATTTTGCCCCACCTGAGAATGAAACCTAGGTCATCTCACAGGACTCCTCTAAAGGAGACATCTCAGAGGAGACCTTCTAAAATGATTTTAAAAGGAATTAAGAAAATAAAATTCACATGAGCAATCTCAGGACTGGCACTGGGGAGTATTTCTTTATTCAGAAAGTAATTAAAGACTGGAACATGTGACCAGGGACGGTGGTTACGACCAGGATACTGGACTCATTTAAGAAACAATTTTTTTGGTGGAATGGAAGGCTAGCAGGGAGAGCTTTTTTTGGAAAAATGAAATCAAATAGGTCAAAGGATCTAGCCCCTCTAAACCTCTCGTGATCTTGTGAGCTGGGCAAAATTTGACACTCAAGGGAAGAACGTAAATGGCTTGATTGGGAGACGTTTTAAGATTTTTTGGCTTCCCTTCCTAGTAGCTGGTACACATCTACTTGATTGGTATAACTCAAAAATTCAGTGTTTCATTACTGCAAACTTTCTAAAGGAACTATATTCACTAAATGTGTCCTAACTAAGGTATTTTGATTCCAGGAACCTTTGGCACGCATACCCTTAGCGTCTGCCAGCAGCGAGATCCACTTCTTCAGCAGCTTTATAAATCATATATTTTTTCAAACAGTAAAAAAATATACATTACTTGTGGTTCTGTCCTAAATGGATGATGGGACAGCTTAGCATTTTGACGTCTGGATTTCGAAATGGCAGTTATACCAAAGTTCGGGAGAGAAGGGGGGAGCATGCTAATACAGTACAATACGTTTTTAAAAGAAATCACTTGAAGAGATACTAAAATGAACTTAATTTTGCCACAGCCTGGGCATCAAATAAGTCAGTCTTTCCTGCTTTTAGTTATGGATTACAACTTCATTAAAAACAAAGATATCAGAGTACAATTCTTCTGGTTAGGCTTTGAAGCTCACTACGTTTTTTTCAACACTTTTTCCACAGTTGCTAAGCGGTGGATATTGACTTATCTGAATTTGTTTGAAAACTTGTATCACACATGACAGAGTCAAAACAATTCATTGCTTTCATATGTTTTGAATAGAGTTGTCCATTGGTTTGTTTAAGAAGCTGTGTTGTTTTAAACTGGGGAGCCTTTTAACTGATTTCGTTATAGCAAAAAAAATTATTTATCAAATAAACAAACAGTATCAAACAATTATTTATCAAATAAATAAACAGTAATCATACATAAGTTCATATGGACTGCACATGGCACAGTAAACAGGCCATTCGGCCCAACTAGTCCGTGCCAGTGTTTATACTCCAAGTGAGTCTCCCACTCCTTACTCCCACCTGGACCCATCTATTTCCTTCTGCCTCATGTGTATATCTAGCTTCCTCTGAAATGCATCCATACTATCTGTGGCAGATGTCAACTGACGAATAGCGCAAATCAAGCCCTTGACACAAATCTTTAACCTCGGAAAATCGCTGAACTGAAGCACGTTTCGAATGGAGTTGTCCATTGGTTTGTTTAAGAAGCCGGGTTGTTTTAAACTGGGGAGCCTTTTAACTGATTTCGTTCCCCAAAGCGGTTAAAAAACAAATTGCTGGAGAACATTCTAGGATCCCCAATCGCCATTTAAATTGAATGCAAACGATTTATTTTTAACCGCATGTAAACGTCAAAAGCTGTTTATTTTGGGTGTCAGGACAGTGAACTCCACGGTCTTTCGCTGCCTGAGCAGTGTGCGATAAGAGGAAACTTCAGAGCCGTTAGACAAACAACCAGTGCTTTTCCAGCAAGAAATCCAAACTATTTCTATGACCATCCATAAAGGAAACAGCTGCTGGCTTTCTACAAACATACTGCAATGGGATTGGCACTTTTTAAATTTATTACAAGAGGTAAGTGTGAGTGAAGCATCATGGCCTGCATCTTCTTTCCAATCCGCCTTTGCAGCTCCAGTGTCGTCCATCTTCTTGCTCACAAGCCAGACATTAGCTAATTCCAAAGCCTTTGAGTGTCTGGTCAAGTAGTCGTCAGAAGTTACAGCACAGGAAGAAGGCCATTGGGCTCAACAGAACAGAACCTAATGCCCAGCTGCATCTACCAAGTGATAGGATTCAGATAAGGCCCAGATAGTTGTTGCAGGCCTAAAAAATAGACATCTCATGGCTTAAATAATTTGTATACAATCCTTATGTTTGGTATGGTGCCTAAAACATTGATGATCCAAACTTTCTGCTCACTGGACTTCCCAAGTCCTCCCTCCACAAGATGCAGATTATTTGGAACTCTGCAGCTCATGTCCTCTCCTGCACTAAGCTCCGTGATCCGATCACCCCTATCCTCGCCTAGCCTCACTGGCTCGCATCCCCAAGAGGATCAAGATTAAGATCCTTGTCCTCACTCTCAAAGCCCTCCATGGACTCACCCCTCCCAATCTCTGTGACCTATTAAACCATTTCCAACCTGTACGCTCCTTGCGCTTGGCAGGCACTTGTTCGCTCCACATCCCCACCCTGCCTGCTCTACCATTGGTGGGTGGGCATTCAGATCTTTCTGCCCCCACCCTTTCTGCCCCCCACCTTTCCTCCTCTACCCTCAACTCCACGACCACCGATGTCCTGACAGCCTGCCTGTCTGACATCGAGTCCTGGACGAGAGACAACTTTCTTCAGCTCAACGTGTGTAAAACTGAGGCCCTCCTGATTGGCTCACGTCAGCGCCTCCGCACCTCAGGCGCTGACACCATCAGCATCCAAGGCTGCATTCTCCACCTCTCAAAGCCAGTCACGAACCTCGGGGTTCTGTTCGACCCTGAGCTGTCCTTTCTTCCTCATATCCGCGCCACAACTGGCACCATCTTCCATCACCTCCGAAACATCGCCAGACTACGGCACTACCTCACCCCTCACGCTGCTGAAACTCTGGTCCACGCCTTTATCACCGCGAGGCTGGACTATGGGAACTCTCTCCTCGCCGGCCTTCCCGGCACCACAAGCTGCAGGTCATTCAGAACTCTGCAGCTCGTGTACTGTCCCGCACCAGGCTTCGCGACCACATCACTCCCACCCTCGCTCGCCTCCACTGGCTTCCCATCCCCCAGAGTCGAATTCAAGATCCTCATCCTCACCTACAAGGCCATTCAAGGCCTCGCTCCCTCCTACCTCTCCGACCTACTACGCTCCTACTTACCTACCCATACCCTCCATTCCTCTGGCTCCGGTCTGCTCCACATCCCCCGCCCCAACCGCCCTACCATCGGTGGCCGGGCCTTCAGCCTCTCAGCCCCGAGGCTCTGGAACTCCATCCCCCAGTGCCTTCGCCTTGCTTCCTCCCTTTCCTCCTTCAAGGCCGGTCTCAAGACCTTTCTTTTTGACCGTGCCTTCAGCTCCCCTCTCGACTCTCTACCCCAACCTCGCTCCCTCCCTTCCCTCCCCTCACCCTGACCATTTCCCCCCTGCTCGGGTCCTGACCCAACTGTCCAGCGCCTTGGGACGTCCTCCCGACGTGAAAGGTGCTCTATAAATGAAATCTTGTTGTTGTTGTTGGAACTCCCAGAGCCCCTAATAATAATAATAATAATCCTTGCATTTGATATAGCGCTTTTCACGTTGGGAGAACATCCCAAAGCGCTTCACAGAACACACTGTAAAGTGAATTGACTGTATATTTGTGGGCGAACGCGGCAGCCAATTGCGCACAGCAATGTCCCACAAACAGTCGTAGATTGAAAATGACCAATTTATTATTGTTTTTGGTTTTGGAGGGATTATTATTAGGCGTGTGGAGTAAGGAAACTTGCCCAAGGTTTCGCCCTGATCTGCCTGGAATTGAACTCAGGTCTCTCACTTGCAAAGCGAGTGCACTAACCACTGAGCTACAGGACTCTACATCTCGTCCCTATCTTGCCTGCTTCAAGACTCGTCTTAAGACCTTCCTCTTCGACCGTGCCTTCGGTCATCTTCTCACCCTTCCCCTCCTACCCTCCACCTCTCTTGATTCGGGTGGAAACCCTTGACTGTCTAGTACCTTGGGATGTCCTCCTGTCATGAAAGGGGCTATAGAAATGCAATTTGTTGTTATTACTGTAGGCCTTTACAGATGTTTTTGACAGACTCCATTAGTTCATCGCATCGTTCAACGACAACAACTTGCATTTATATAGCACCCTTCAAGCAGAGTAGGGTTTCAGAGTGTTTTGTACTCATCCTATCAATATCTTTCCATCAGTTTTCCCTTTCAGTGAAAACAGCCTCCAATTTAGTGCCTATCATAATTCTAGCCTCTGATTCCTTGCCCTTTGGCTACAATATAGCTAACTGGTCAATTGTGCCACAACAACAACTTGCATTTATATAGTGCCTTTCACTTTGGATAGCACCTAGGAGCCACACGTCTTGCAGACAGAATTACTAAGATCCTACCACAAAGTCTCATTTAAAGTTACCCTTATTCTATATCGTGCCAGACTCTAACATTCTTCTGCTGCGGTCACTTTTTAATGGAAGCTTGGGCCATGTGGAAAAAACATGAGTGTCTAATGGCCTGTTTCTGTGCTGTAACATTCTTTAAGTCTATGGTGGCAATCAAAAACTTGATGCCCAACAGTGTCTACTGAGTGATAGGATTCAGCTAGAGTTCAAATAGTTAGTCCAGGCTTAAAAATAGACATGGCTTAAACAATATATATCATCCTCGCTCAACTCCTCCCCCCCCTTTCTGATACCAGAAGAGCTATCTTCTGTTATCACTACAGTCATCACCCCAGACACTCTGGTATGCTGCCTGTTCTGCACCATTAACATCTCTTCTCCCCAGTTTTGTTTCTAGACACTGCCACTATCACCTCTTTAACCCATCAACTAACATATTCTCTTTGTCTTCTCTCTTTTTTTATCTTCTTTGTCGTCCTCGTCCTGCTTCCCCTCTCAACTTGTCCTTAAAAACCTCTCCCTCCCAACATGCCCCAGTTCTGATGAAGGGTCATGGACCTGAAACGTTGACTCACTTTCTTTCCTCCATAGATGCTGCCTGACCTGCTGAGTGTTTCCAGCTCTCTCTGTTTTTGTTTCAGATTCCAGCATCTGCAGTATTATGTGTTTTGTTTATATCATCCTCGCATTTGACATAGTACCTATGAACACCAAAATGTCTCAAAGGGCTTTATAAGCATCACTGTTAAGTATAGTGACTATGTATTTGTAGGCAATGCAGTCGTCAATTTGAGAGAGAGGTGTGGCCAGTCTGTAGCATTCTTTACCTGCAAATCTTGCTTCCAGCTCTTCGCTCTTATTTGGGATGATATAATTGTTTGACGGCACAAAAGTACAGCACGGGCAATGCAGACTTATTTTAAATCCGTTATTGCGGTCTACAAAAACACACAAAATACTGTATAGCACACATATCCATCACATAAGCACAGCAGATATTATATTCTCTCTCAAAATAAAGTTGCTTCAAAACTCCAAAAATGTTGTTGCATTTTTTTCTTCTTTCTCTCTCTCAGAAACAACAACTTGCATTTATATAGCGTTCGTCATGCAAGGTAGTGTCCTAGAGCGCTTGACAGTGGCAGAGCATGACGCCGAGCTGGTGGGATGGGGAGGTGACCGTAGGCACGGTCGAATAGGAAGGTCTTCAGGCATGACCTGAAGATGGGGAAGGAAGGGGCTAGGCAGAGGGATAGAGGAAGAATCTTTCAGAGTTTGCTAATGAAATGAAACCCAGACCAGGATGGTGCTTACCTCGATGGAGCAGCCATTCGTTTACTGTCTCAGTGACATCGAAGGACAACCACTCTCCTTCCGTTCGTGTCCGTACGACTTTGCTGTCGATGTACCGCTGGGCTGGAGATGAAGGTTCTTTCGATTTTAGAACCTGGAATAAATAAATCAAAAACAAAGTCATCGTCCTGGCATTAGATACTGTACCATTCATGTCAGGAAGCTGTTCAGCCAGGCTGGCTGGTCTGTCATCAGCTGTGCCCTGGAGTACCGTGGACCTGTTTGGCTCAACGGAGTACGGAGACCGCCACTTGATTCTAGCATTGTATTGCCAAGCATGTCACCTCAGCTCCAAGGAGTTTATCTTCTCCCACATACACCTAATTGCAAAGTCACTAAATGTCAAGACCGAGGCTCTCCTGATTGGTTCGACTGTGCCAACGCCCTACTTGTTGGCCTTCCCAACTCTTCCCTCCACACGCTGCAGATCATGCAGAACTCTGCAGATTGTGTGCACTCCTGCATCAGGCTCCGTGACCCCATCACACCCAGCTTCGCTCGGCTCCACTGGCTCCCCATCCCTCAGAGGATCGAGTTCAAAATTCTCGTCCTCACCTTGAAGGCCCTCAATGGCTTTGCACTCTCCTACCTCTCTGACTTGCTAACCCCTTATCAATCTGTCCCCTCCCTCCACTCAGCAGGCTCCAGCCTGCTCCAGATTCCCCACCCAGCCTGCCCCACCATTGGCAGTCGGGCCTTCAGCCTCTCTGTCCCACCCTCTGGAACTCCATCCCACATTCCCTTTGCCTCACTCCCTCCCTCGCCTCCTTCAAGGCACACCTCAACACCCTCTTCTTTGACCGTGTCTTCAGCCACCCTCCTACCCTCTCTGTATGTGTGGAATATGATGGTATGTCAGCAAAATTGTAACATTTCTTCTGGAACTGGCCAGTTAAAGCACAGTGATCTATTCCAATCCTCTTATCTTCCTCCCATTATCATATTTGGCCAGTACATAGGAACAGAAGGACACCATTCAGCCCATCAAGCCTTTTCTGCCAGTTTAATAATAATAATAATGCTACTAATAATAATCCTTGTATTTGATACAGCACTTTTCATATCTTCTAACCATCTCAAAGCGCTTCAAAGCACTTTTCACATCTTCTAGACTCTCAAAGAGCTTCACAGAATATATTGTAAAGTGTATTAGATCATAGTGGACCTTTGAATCCTACTTTTTATCCATACTCATTAATGCAATGAGTATTATTATTACTTTTATTATTATTATTGATAACATCCTTACTCTCCAAGTATCCATTTATCTGCTTTTGAAACATCCCGCTTGCTTTCGCCTGTTTGGTCTTCTGGGAGTCTTGCTTTGCATTGTAACCAGCTTTATTCGTTCACTAAGTTGGCCTTCGACCTATGCTAAAATATCTGGCTCAGTGAAAAGTTAGTTACAATGAGGACTTTGACATGATTTTTTTTATTATAACGAACCTCAGCAATGTGTGTTATGTCACAGGTTACGATCTATCAGAGATAAGTGACAACACATGTAATTCAGAAAAGAAGTGCCTTATCCACATTTTACTACATGGTTTTCTGGCTGCACATTGGGGTGTTATTTCCTTTAGCAAGGTCTTTTCTTCTTTATTGCTCCAAGCAGGAATCTATCTGACCAGTGCTAGAAAAAATAGCTGTTGTTGCCATTGACTATCGTGCAGCTCCCCATCCCCCAGAGGATCGAGTTCAAGATCCTCGTCCTCACCTTTAAGGCCATCCATGGCCCTTCCTCCCAATGTGAAAGGCGCTCTATAAATGTAATTTGTTGTTGTAAGGACCGTGCTTCCTATTTCCCATTAGGCGATGTACTTGGCAACAGAATGTCAGAATCGAGTCAATTCTCTGTGGTAGTCTTGGTCGTCCGGTTCCTTAGCCATGTGGGTAACAGTACTCCAGAGCACTGCTGATAGCAGTTTTTCTCATCGGCTGGACTCGAAGGGGCAGAACGTTCACTATGGGCAGGATTTATTTCCACTTAGCCAAACCTCTAAAGGGTAGCATGGTCCTAGTTGGACAAGCAGTGGGAAACTTGCTGGACAATGCTTTCGATAACAAGTTGAAAGGTTTTAGCTGGTTAAACTCCAGCAGTATCCCAAAGTACACTCTGGGATTTCCAAGCTTTGGCTCTTGCTAACGTGTGCCTAGAACTCTCTGGAATTAGATAAGTAGGGTGCAACCTTCCAGAAAGAGTTCTATTCCGGATAACAACAACTTGCATTTATATAGCGCCCTTCACACGGGGCAGCGACCCAGAGCGCTTGACAGTGACAGAGTCTGACCCCGAGCCAGGGAGAGAGGGAGGTGACCTTAAGCACAACCAAAAAGGAAGGTCTTTAGATACAGGGAAACGTCCAGGTAAAGGTTACACACGTATGTGGAAACATGGTGACGAGTTTCCGCATGTGTTAGGCAGCAGTTCCTGGCCAGTTGACAGCACACTTTACATTTTATTCAGAATGGTATCATGACCTGTGACTACACCAGTAAAACTATGGACAAAAAAACACCCATGGCAGCTTGAAGCCACTGAAAGAGACACATTTTTATGATAATAATTCTTGCGTTTGAAATAGCACCTGCAATGCTGAACATCTCAAATCACTTCACAACACTTCTGGAAAGTGTAGTAACTTTGTTTGTAGAGAAATGTGGCAGTTGATTTGCGCACAGCAATGTCCTACAAACAGACGCATCTTTGCTATAATAGCTCAGTCCACTTGCTCCACCACAGTCAGTTACAGTTTAAAGCACCAATCTGCCACGATAAATGCTGCAGATCCATCTGACACCCATCTCTGTGATTCTGGGAGGGGGTATTGTTATCACACTTCTCCTTTACCCCATAAAAATAGGATCCTGGTCGTAATGAATAAACGCCAAATAACAAAAGGGGCTGACAGTCTCCTGTGAAGTGTGCTTCCTCTTTGCATGTGTCTGAGTTTTATCTGAAATAGGGAGATCCTCTCTGTGTGACAACCTCAAGCTGTCAAGCTTCTGCACACGCTGCTGGTAGGTGCTTTATGGTGCAATGGCCTCCAGGGCCCTGCCGCCAGCAGAACGTTCTCTGCACCCAAGCAAAGGCTGCCAGAAACTAAGCAAAGCAAAGCCTTGAGAATGACTGGAAAGCCCCAGCGAACCCAAAGAGTTAAGGAGATCTCTTACAAAAAGAAAAAATGTGCCTCCAATGTAAACCCGGTTTCTATTTCATCCGAGTATGGCATTTGGTGTATATAGGTAAACATTGTAAGTGCTGGTACAGCAAGATTTATGTTGCCAGTACCTCCCCATGCTTTGCCTTGCTTAAGCTTCCTCCAAATGTTTCACCACCCAGAGCTATCTTCAGTTTCCCATGAAGAAATACCTCTCTATTTTAAGCCTCTGGTCTATTTTCTCTCTCTCTCTCCTTTGTCTGTCCCTTCCTTTCCTTACCTAAAGAGTTAGAGAAACAAACTGAAACACAGAGAACTACAAGTCAAATCATAAAATACCCAGCAAACAACTGAATCGACATATTTCTGGAGATCAGCAGGAACATCTGGTCGGCAGACAGTGTCTGCTCTGCCGCCATCCTGCTCCAACACAAGCCATGGTTCATTTTCTGATTGAAGATGGTAAATCCAATATCTTTACACGCAACGCACAACTAAAGCAACGTTTTAAGAGACTGTTTTCTTGTTTCGTTTTTTTTCCCTCCATTAACCTCTCCGTATTCCATTCCCTCTCATATGGTCAACTCCACTTAGGGCAAAGCGTTTACAGTCTGTGGTAGTTTCCTAACCCATTCCTCGTGCTAATTAGGACATAGGAATGGGTTAAGAAACACTGCAAATTTTACGCTAAATATATATACGCACACACAAACGATACATAAGTATGGTTAAACGGCTAAATTTAAGATACACTCTTCCCTCCTGTTTTATTTCCAAGCAGTGGAAAGAGAGCTAAATAAAAATAACTTAAAAATGTAACATAAAGTAGAAAACAAAGGGAGCAAGGTGATAATAATCATAACAACTTACATTTTTATAGTGCATTTCATGTAAAAATAAATGTCTCAAAGTACTTGTGGTGGGAGGGTGCTGGTTGTGGGTCAATGTTTACTCTGACTCGTTGAACCCGTTGAGTTCATTTGTTCTATTTTCCATGACTGAACTTGTACTCCAATCCAGACAACGTTCCAAATGTCTCCCAGAGGGGGTAGGATCGGGACAACAAAGCACTGGAAGATTCCTGGACTGAAAGAATCTCAGAAGCGTTGGTGTTTGGTAGAAGCTTAGAAGTCTGAAATAGGGGTGGGAGGGCCAGACGTCTGGCTGTGTCAGCACGACACTGACTTGTACCAGCTGAAAAAAGGGAGCTCAAATGCATCTCTGAGACCTCAGAGAATGAATGATACGGTCCGGGATTCCGTTAGTCGCCAAGATCATTGGTGATGTGGACAGCAGGCAGCATGAACTGCATATCATTTCTCAGCATTAGCGGCGCGCATCACCAATTCAGGCAGCAACATCACAAAACATTAACTGAACTGGATATCTAGGCTTGGGGAAAACAAAATCTCTCGATTTCCTAGGCTTAAGGAATGTGGAATTTCAGAACTCAGAGGAGGCAGAAATGTTCCTTTTAATAGCATCTCAAAGTCTGCTTCATTGGCTATGCTGAGTGCACAGACACTAAGTGGCCAATAATTAATGAGTGCTATGATTTATCATTGTAACTTTAGGGACAAAGGTACAGCACAGAGTGCACATCCAGGTTGTGCTACAGTTCCTAGTGCAGAGTACCAAAGAGCAAAAGGATAAAAAATAAAGTAGCTTACAACACATTGCCATCCTTAAGAGTTTCCAAACTAGACTTAAAGTTCCAAATGCCACCTAGGCATGGAAATGTCCCTGGATCTGGAATGGAGTGAGCACTCTCTCTCTACAGGAACATATCTTGCTTACCTAACTGCAGAAAGTATTAGCACAGGCTGGCAGGAGTCAAAATTTGGGGACCCCAAAGTGTACATTGGGTTGTTTAACCAACTAAAACTGTATATCTTGCCATTGTGAACACTGTCTGGCAAGCTTTCTGCTGCAT